AGAACTCAGGTTCACGCTGTTCCTTCTGTGTACCAGCTATCTGCCCTTCATCCCAGGCTCTAACGATTACCAAGTCCACACAGGGGAGCTGCTGGCCTCCCACTACCTTGGTGATGCAGTTGGGAAGATACCATAAAACAAAGGATTTTTAAAAACCTGTTGTTTATTCAACCATTTACCTTAAAGTCAGAAGGTCAGACACAGCTATACTAAACACTCTGGAAAAGAAAACTGCCAACTGTTACTATGAAATAAGCAAGTCAAAATGACTTCTATAAAAAGCAAGGAAATCTTTTCTGGGTTGACTCTTCAAACACTTAAATAATTCCATACGTCAGTGCTAAATACATTGTTAGTACAGTTAACAGTCATTTTGTTTCACACACAAAATGTAATGTGTTTGGATAATTGGTGAGCAGGTCAAGAAGTTCTGAAGCTATTTACCTGTAAGTACAAGATTCTGAATAGTATAATTTTTAGATGTGAAAGGAAAAAGAGGCCTCCACATAGATCAAAGTAAAGAATCAATAAAGAGGTAAATGGGCCAGTTCTGTGGCTCAGCAGTCATGTGCTGCTGGAGAAGCGGGATCCCATGTGGTAATCACAGTTCAAATCCCTGGACCAGTCATCCTAAAACATACTGAGCATGTGCACTAAGATCCAAAAAGCTAGAGGAATGGAGGAAGGGGATCACAGGGCCTGATTACACCCTCTCTCTTGTTCTCCCTCGCTCCCACTCTTGTGTGTGTATGTACTCTATCATTAAAAAAAAGAGAGATATAAACTTGTTTCCTAGTTTTTATGAAAAAAATTATTTATAATTATGATTATCTTATAATCTGAGATGCAAAATACTAAAAAACACACACAAAAAAATCTAGATAAAACTCTTCCTTTAACTTTCAGGCATTTACCTCTGAAAAAGGTAAACAGAAACATGTCAGCATGAAAGACCTTTCCTTCCCAGAAACCTAATGTTGAAACAGTGTAATGAGAAGTCTCTATAAAGAAGACAGAAAAGTTTTAGCACTTTCACCTTATACTAAAACTCAACTGAAATATTTATTATTATCTATTGGTTATGTACATACATAGTCAGAAAAAGGATATTTACAAGTCAGACAGCATGTTGTGGTGGCGTTAAATAACCTCTGACAAATTCCTTAACCTCCTGGATTTCGATTCTCTTAATGGTAATATAGACATAATAATTATGCTACTATGAAGATAAAGTCATCTAGAAAAGAGCTATAAAAAATTTTTAAATAATAAGGGTTGAAGAACTATGAGGATAAAGAAATGGCTGATCAGCCTACGTACCAGATATGTTGACTTCCAATAGCCTACATCACTGTCACAAGATGTTCTTGCTCAAGACTATTCTAGGCTGCAGTCTTCCTCAACCTGATCACACAGCCTGCTGAATGTGCTACCACCACTGCCAATAGGTTGCCTTAGACCCCCTCAGCTAATCACCCTATCCTGACCCTTCCTCTGTCTCCATTAGACCCTTCTCTGCTATCTCCATCAAACATAAACTCTTCCAGAACAACTTCCATGAATTATAACAGTTCAATGGGAGTTCTAGTTTTTTTTTTTTTTTTTTTAAAGAAAGATCATTCTAGCTGCAGAGCAGAGACTAGATTAGAAGAAGATAATACAGGAGGCTGGGAAATTCCATGGGAAGCTCTAATAGTATATCAAGGACAATGTGATGGTGGATTGGGATAAAAAAAAATGTCACAATGGGGACCAGCAGTTAGCATAATGGCTATGTCACTGGACTCCCATGTAGTCAACCATGGTTCGAGTCCTGGACCCAGTGGCTTAAACTCATGCTGGGCACATGTGCGTGCATGCCCAAGGTCCCGAGAGGAGAATGGAGGAGAAGGGGTTGTGGCATGGCCATCCCCCCTGTGGGGCTGATTTCTCACTTTCTGTCTGTCTGTCTCTTTCTGGTGAGTGCATGCGCCCTATAGCAAAAACCTTTCGAAAAAGAAATAACGTCACAATGCACGTGGGGAGGAGTATACACATTCCAGGCACACTGAATTCCTCATGTCTAAAATAACACCTGATAATAAGAAGAATTCAATAATTTGTTGACTGAATGACACCTCCAGCAGAGTTGCTGCTGTCTAAGGCATCCCCTAAGCCACACACACAACCCCTCCTGAGTAGCATAATCATCCCGTGGGCATGGGATGCACAGGAAGATGCTGAGGAAATGATTGTGAAATGCACAAACCAGCTGGCAAGACTCCATTTATGAAACCCTCTTGATGTATAAACGTATCTTTGTGAAACAAAAAGCTTCTCCAGTTCTGACAATGGAAAATTTTAGAAGCCAGATATCTTTCTGCTATGACTTTCCAAGCTTGTTATAGAAATGTATTATTTAAAATAGCCTAGAGCTATGCTGCTAGAAACAGTAAAATACTAAAGGTGCTGAAAGAAAGCCCTTTCTTTTAAGGAAGGAAAAAAAGCTGTGGCTAGAAAAAGAATCTATACTCCAACTTTTCTTCTTGTAAAAACATGGTCTCAGGCCGGCCAGGTGGTGCAGAGGTTAAGGTGGCTGGATCCTGCAAGGCTGACTCCATGGTTCAAGTTCCAGACCCAGCAGCTTAAACCATGCTGGGTATATGTGTATGCCCCAAATCCCTAGAGAAGAATGAAGAAGGGACAGCAGCATGGCCATCCCCCCGGAGGGTGATTTCTAATTTCCGCTCTCTCTCCAGAGAGCACACATGCCCTACAGCAAAACATAAAAATAAAAAATACATAAAACTTAAACATAGTCTCTGTCACTAATTCCTAAAATAGCAAAATATTTTTGATAAGCAATAAATTCAAATATGGAATGAATATATTTTCTTACACTGTGACAAATTTACAAGGTTTATTTTATAATATGATAAATTTACAAGGTCAGGACATACAATGTCTTCTCTATTTAATCATTTTTTATTTTGTTTTTGTAGAGGTTTTTGCCTTAGGGCACATGTGCTTGATAGAGAGAGAAAGACAGAGACAGTGAGCAAGAAAGTGAGAAATCACCCCTAAAGAGGATGGCCACTCTATGATCTCTTCTCCTCCATTGTCCTCTCAGGATCTTAGGAGTGCATGCACACGTGCCCACGGTGAGTTTCAAGTAACCAGGCCCAGGACTAGAACTTTGGTCAGCCATGTGGAAGTCCAGCGACATACCACACCACCATGTGCAGGCCCAATAATTTTGACCTTCTATCCATAAGACATTAAGTTTGCTAAAACTATAAAACCAAAATCATCTGCAAAATCCAAGTGTCTGCCCATGTCGATATAAAAACAAAGGAGTCTATGATTATAGTCAACTGAATTGAAAATCTAACAATCCTAACAAACCTCAAAATGTTTTGCCATCTTTAAATAGGCCGAGAGTATTAGTAAAAGTAAGGAAGGGGTAGTCAGGCTTACTTAACTATCAGGTGCTTTCCCTCTAGGATTAAGGTAAACCTAAAATACTTGTTCCTTTCTTGATAATTAAAGCTTTAATTGTTATTAAATTAGCTAAAACAGCATATTGCCTACGCTAGGATGATAACCTCAACTGTTTGGGCACACAAATGATGCTTAATTCTGAATAGAAAAAGAAGGCTCACTGGCAAAAGATTCTGTTCCAAAGCTCAGCCAAGTGTCTTTGCACAGCTTTGATCAAAAGGGCAACTACTGGTACCTCTGCCACTGCTTTTGAAAATTTCCAAATTACACAAGGTAGAAAGAAAGAGCAGGAGAACAAGGGGTCTGGAATGGATTTCTAAGTAAGGAGTTTACTTCCATTTGAAAGGGAACCACTTTCCCCTACACTGAAAATAAAGCTTTATGTGGTGCTCTCTGTACCTTAAGAATGTATCTGGAGTCTTGAAAATGCTTTTTCTGCAAAAACCAGAAAGTGATACATAAGAACATCAAATAATGCTCTGGTCTTGTTACTCTAAGGACTATTTTAAAGAATCTCAGTGACCATGAAGGATAATAAAAACAGATCAAAGTAAAAAGTTTACTGAGTTTTAAGGTTGGAAAAAAAAAATCAAAGGCATAAATTGCCCCATTTATCCTTCATTTCCTTAGAAAATAAGATGGTGCATGATTAGTTAAAATTTATCAATATATGAATATCATTAACATTCTATTAATAATTCATATAAATGAAGAGAGATAATCTCGTTTATGTTGTCCTTATTTTATTAAGAAAGTTTTTCCTTTCTCTTAATCTGTACTAGTAGAACTAGTACAAAATTATCTAGATAAGAAAAGTGATTTATCCCAACAGGAAAAATAGACCTTGAACAGCTATTAATTAAAAAGAAAAATTAGAAAAGCAACAAGCCTTAAATGTAAAGGTCTGTTTAAAGTATGCATATACTTACTAATGAAATCTTAAACAATATTCAATTCTATGTGAGTCTACAAATCAAATGCTATTTTCATTCTCACACAACGGAGGACTCAACATCTTACAAAACAGGAAACTCAACTGAGTAACTAAGTTGTGTTATAAACTAGCAAGGCCATTTAAAACTAATATATCCAAGCTATGCGTAAACAGAAAAGATGAATATTTCTAAAGTAAATATTACTAAAAGTATTTTCATCCATTCTAAACCAACCACAGTTTTGAACAACAGACAATATAAAACATAACATCATCCCTCATTTCAACCAAAATCTCAAAACTTCTGGATTATGTATTTTACAAGTTACAGGCTGTTTATTGTCAAAATCATATTCCTTTCGTATTTCTATAAGCAGATGATTCTGCTTTCCTTCCCTAGGGAAATGCAAGTAGAGTGATATTGAAGAAATACGATTAAATTAGTTTAATTACTTCATGGCGACTTGGTAAGTCACTGCTCTTTAATGCAAAAACTGCCACTTACAATTAATGACTGTTGGTACTGCTTAAATCGATCAAATGTCTAATACACATAAAACATTCAAAGAAGTTCTATATATCTTACAGCAATTCAGTGGAGAAGTCTTGTCCCAGGGGTACATAAATCTGAAGTACCAGAAACCTCTGGATCAGTCCAACTAGAATGAGAAGGGAAAATATACATTCAAATGCTCAAACCAGTTATATGTACATATAAGCAGTGTCAACATCATCAACAAGCTGAAGCTTCTAGCATTTCAGTAATATACACAACTGCAGTAGCACGCACCATGAGTTACAACCTCATTAAGAAAGCAAAAAAAAACTGATGAAAATTCAATCAAACTCTAACAACAAATGTTGCCTTTAAATTCCCATCTGTGGCTTTGGTGAAATTTTTATGAAAATTTTTTTAAATAATAATTTTTTATTTACTATTTTTATTAGGTTGCAAGAGAATGCACATAGAACTGTATTCAACAAAGACATAAAACTGAACTATAGATCCCCATCAAGGTGGTCATAAAAGCATATGGCAATTATTTTTATTCACTGACAGTTTTAACTGTACTAAACAACTTAATAAAAAACAATAGATCAGGAAAAACAATTCTAACTATGACAACTACAACTGAAAGTTTGATGAGCCATGTCTACTTCATATGGTTTTAAATGTGTCCACGTTGAGATAGATGGACCAATGTATTATTTATAATACATTTTATTAACATACTACTATAATAATTAATTTAATGCTTACTAAGCAAGAACTGACAGTTTTTATACCCTATCACTAGCTTCATCTATTAATAGATTAAAAATATTGAGAAAAAAAAACAGTCTTCACAGTACTTTTGAAGCAGAAGTCTTTAACTGATTTAAAAACAAAAACAAAGAACAAAAAACCAGAAAAGCTGATCTTTATAATACCTCTCCAGATCCATTTACTCAATGCACTTCCCTCTTAGGTTTTGAACTTTGGCTTGATCTCTCAATAATGATGCTCTTAACAGATGTTTTAGTATCACAACTGCTAAAATATGCAACTTAAACTTTTTTCCTGATGAGTGACTTCAGGTAGAAAATGGAGATGCACTGATATATCTCTGAACCTCTCCTACAAAGCCACTATTATAAGCCAACATGTGGATAAAAAACTTAAAGGCAACTGGTCTAAAATGCAGGCTATTTTCTATTTATTCTGACTTAAACTTGACAAATTTTAGTATTTAAAGGTAACAACATGTTTCCACATAGACCTTCTTGTTTGTAATTCCAGTGGTAGACTATGTTGCAACATTCCTGAATAACTTAAACAATTCTAGTTTTATCCCAAACTTACTTTTTAAATAGTAAACATACCTGATCAAATATGTTAATATAATTTTAATCAAACACACAGGGATAATGTTCATTTAAAAATACTATGCTTATACATCACTCTAGGGAGTCATGAGTAGAATAAGCAATGTAATAGAAATGGGAAACAGGCTCTAGTCCTAGAACACTCTTTAAGAATCTCATTCTACCATATTTATGAGAAAATCCAGAGAGGCAACTGGAGTTCTGGTCTCCAAAAGCAAAGTGAGATACCAGAATGAGGACAAATTAAATAAACCATCATGAACCAGTCTCTATGACATCTGGGTCTCATTGGCCCTATAGTAGTTTTCCACTGCACAACGGTCTCTGTAAATAAAGCCGAGAACCCATAAGGATAAAAGAAATCAGTTTCTAGAAAAGGTCCCTAATTTATGTCACTAATCTCACTGAATCAGCACTGCTCTCCTCAAACACAAAGAGCTACACATATAGGACATTTTTGTATGAGCATTTTTAGATATCAAAGATCCCTTCCTCAAAAAAAGAAAGCTTTGTAATTCAACTTTTTCCACATACAGAAGCCCTAGTTTCTGAAAGGCTTCACTTCTAAGATTAAAAGAAGTATGACGATACCATATGGTGATGATCTGACAAAGAAAAAAGGACTTTAATAACATTTGACACAGACTGATCCTGTGTGTCAGAAATGCTAAGTAAACTCTGTAGCACTATTGTTTCTAGTGGCCTAGTAAATTTAAACTGACTCTTCAGGTCCACATTATATTTTAAAATCACTCTAGTAATGCTGAATGTGGAACTAGTGTTTATTAGAAAAGTGTCCATCAAGCACATAAAATCCATGAAAATCTAGTCTCATTACTGAAATATGCACATTTCTGCAGTTTTATAATGTATTGACTGAGACAAACTACCTCTTAAGGGGTCAGGTCCTTTTCTCTTTTGACTATTTCAAAATACACTTAACTGGTAAAATATATGGTTTTAAATAGTGGTTTTACAGTTGTTTTATTAGAGCAAATGATAAGACTATCCATCTCGTATATATTTCATAAGTGTTACATTGTTCAGCGTGGGGCTGAGATCGCAGCATAGTCATCTTGTACAAGTGCCCTGGTAAGTTATGACCGAAGTTATTCTATGGCTCCTATCACAGCTCTGGTACAAAGAACACCATTCCCACTTCAGCTCACAAAACAGGAACCAGGTATACCCTCACAGTGGAGTGTTCCCTACGCCAGTTAGAAAAACTGTCTGAGCCTTTTGCTCTTAATCTGTAGAACAGGCTTAACAATTTAGAGTTTACTTTACAGGATTACTTATATGAATTAAGTCAGCTCTATCATTCAACAAAGATTTACTGGGCACCTACTATATGCAAGAATCAATGCTAACATTATTACAGTAAATGGGACAGACAAGGTCTCTGCCTTCTTTCAATTTACATCTTCGTTCCATGAATAAGTCAGTCAGGGTGCCATGAAAGCATTTAATCCTCAGTCCTTGGAGAAAAGAGGATGATTAATAAAAGGTTTTCTTGAAAAAATAGCATTAAAAGTCAGCTAGGAAGAATAAGAAGGAATTACCTGGGTAAGGGGGATGGGAATGGGGAGCAGAACAAATATTACAGGCAGAGGGAATACGCCATCCTGTGAGAGAAAAGGACAGAGTAGATTGGATAAACTTTAAGGGGTTTAATAGGTTGGTGGAAGAAACAAGAGGAAAGGCAAGAGAAAAGTCTGGAAAATTATCCAGGAACCCATTCATGTGGGACCTTGAAAGCCATGTGAAGGATACAGAACATCCTAGAACCAATACGTTCAGCTACTCAACAACAACAAAAAAATTACTGAATATCTACGAAGAGCCAGATACTGTTCTAGGTAAATCAAATGCTAAATTTTCTGAGTTGACCAAGCTTTCTTCCTGGTGATGGTGAGGAAAACACAATTGCACAGATGTTAACCAAGTACGATGGGAAAACAGAGCTGTGTAAAAAGGAGCAAGAGTAGGGAACCAGTTGTAGTCATGACACTGTTAAGACACTTTCATTACAGTCTATGGAGTGTGACCACATGGGAAGGCCAGGTTCAATTAGTGGCCCAACCTAAGGGCTGGGTATGGTGGCATGTGCTTGAAATCCCGGCAACTTGGGAGGTTGAAGCAGGAGAATCATGAGCTTAAGGCTGGCCCAGGCAACATAGTGAAATCCTGCCTAAAAAAGAGCTAACTGAATGTGGTGGTATAAGCCTATGGTCTCTGCAACTGGAGAGGAAGAAGCAAGAGGATCACCACATGGCAAGACCTTATCTCGAAAGAAAAAAAAGAAAAAGTACTTGTAACTTACATATAGGTCAGGTGGGCCACACTGTGGTAACATTTTAGTAAGGTGAGAAGATAAGCCATGCAGCTGTTTGGAGAGAGAAAGTTCTAGGTAGAGGGTATAGCTTATGCACAGATGCTAAGGATATAGGAAACTGGGCTATGTTTCAAAACAGCAGTGAGATCTGCATGGTTGCAGCAGAGCAAACAAAAACAGGGAAAAAGATATAAAGTCAGAAAGTCTAGAGGGCACCAAATACTGAAGAGTTGTACAGATTTTTGGTTTTTACTCTGAGAGAAATGGAGTGTTTTCAGAGGAATAGCATGATTTACATATTACTTACAATTTAACACTGACTTTTTTTTTCTTTTTTTTTTTGTAGAGGTTTTTGCTACAGGGCGTGTGGGCTCGCCAGAAAGACAGAGAGAGACAGAGAGACAGAAAGTGAGAACTCTCCCCCCGCCCCCCTCCCTCCAGGGCCGATGGCCACGCCACAATCCCTTCTCCTCCCTTCTCCTCTCAAGATCCTAGGCATGCATGCACACACGCCCGGTGTGAGTTTAAGCCACCAGGTTCGGGACTCGAACTGTGGTCGACTATATGGGAGCCGAGCAATATAGACATTTCTCCAACTGCTGGTCCTCAATTTAACACTAATTTGACAATAGACTGTAGGGACGCCAAATAGACGACTACTGCAAAAATCCAAGCATAAGATAATGGTGGCTTGACCAGAGTAGTAGCAATGGCAGTATCCAGAAGCAGTGAGACTCTATTTTAAAAAGCATCATGAAGATCTTCTGGATGAATTTAATGAAGAGAAATAAAAATCAAGACCAGGAGTTTTTGGTCTGAAAAATTAAGAAGGTACGTTCCTAACAACTAAAATGGGGCAGCCTGCAGGAAGATGAATTTGAGTAAAGACCAAGAGTTTGAGTTTGTAATATATTGTCTTTAAGGTGTTCAAGTAGTAATGTCAAATAAGCAGGCGCTGGAGTTTGACAAGTGTGAGCAGAACTGTAAGCTAGAGTAACATAGTGATGTTATTTAAATCCATAACCCCAAAGCCAATAACCAAGGGAGCAATTGTGCAGAGAGAGCCAAGGATTGTGCCCAAGGGTACTGGTACATTAAGCTGAATTTGGGAGAAGAGGAAGCCAAAGGCAACCAAGAAAGACAACCAGTGAGACAGTACAACCATCCTGGAAGATGAGTGAAGAAAGTGTATCAAGGAGATGTCAACTTTCCCAAATGTTGCTGATAATGTGAAGAAAGATGAGGGATGAAGACTGGTCATTGGATTCAGGAATATAGAAAGTGACTAGTAACTTTGACAAGCACACACTCAGTACAGTGATGAAGACTGGTTTAGAACAGAGGAAGTCGCAATGAGATTGAATATATATATATATATATACACACATATATATATGTGTGTGTGTGTGTATATATTACACACACACACACATATATATATGTATATGTATATATCAAATTTAAGTCTTTGTGTGTATTAAATGATTTAAAAACAACTTTGAAGTGGAGGTATCCTGAGGAAGTCTGGGGGAAACCTCATAAAGATGAGTTCATGCTCCAGAGCAGCTGCAACTTAGATCAACACAATGCTTCAGGGAAGCTGATCCTCAGAGACAGACCATCTGACATAGTCATCACAAACAGATAAAATAATGGTTTAGAACATGAGCCTCAAACAGAAAGTCCCAAAGAAGACCCTCCAAATGACAGATACTTTGTGTCACAGAACTGCTTCTCACGTGGGCAACTATATATAATATGTCTCAGAGTGAAGAGCAGCACAGATTTATTTAATGAGTGAATACTTTGCTCAAGTCTTCTTATCAAGGCATGGTGGTTACAATCAGAAATTATAACCCAAATTGTCACAGTTTGTTTTCTTTATTTTTTTTTTAAAGGTTTTAGCCATAGGTGCACATGCTTGCCAGAGACTGACAGTGAGAGAAAAAGTGAGAAATCACCCCCTGGGGAAGACGACCATGCTGCAATTCCTTCTCCTCCACTCTCCTCTTGGGATTTTGAGCATGCATACATACACAGCAAGTGTGATTTTCAAGCCCGGAGGTCTGGGACTCATGCCGCAGTCAGCCATGTGGGAGTCCAAAGCCCTAACCATTGCGCCACCTGCCAACCATCACAATTTCTCAATGAGGCAAATTTAACAAACTTACTGAAACCAACTATGTATAAGACATTAAGTTGGGGTATAAAGAGGATGATTCAAGATACTAGCCCTGGAGAAGTACATAATCTCATAATCAATATCATATTTTTATTTGACAGATGCTGAGTAAAAATAAAATAAAATAAAAGTTTGGTATTTGGAAATCCTGAAATATAAGCTAATTCAGAAATATTAGTATTTAAAATGAAAAGTTAAACACACTAAGTTTCATTACTAAACTTTCTTCCTAAGAACTTAATATAATCAGAAACACATACGGGATGCCTAATGTCAAGTTTGCATAAATAAAGTGGAAGTTTACTCTTAAAATAGAAATACATAATGGTAATTGAACTTAATTTAGAAATGTAAATTGAAAATCAATTCTCTATTCAAGTCGTGCCATTTAATTTAAATTTAACTGTACAAACCTTACACCGGTCACTTTATGCACAAAAAATAAGTATAAATTTCTGTTATCAAAAAATTCCAAATAATTAATCTGAAAGGCATTAGCATAGGGCAGACTATATAACTGATTTAATTTGTTACAGTGCTGCACATGCTACAGTAAAGCCAGAATTATGTTTAATTACAAGGCATTGTACAAGAAATACATTAAGAGATTCTTCTGCTTCTTCCAATTAAAACCAATCATCTTTCTATTTGAAAAAGCAATTATAGCACATTAAACTTGGGTTGTATCTTAAAAAAAGAAAAAATTTTAGGTAAGCGTAGGAAAGGGGAGCTTGTATTTAATAGTTTAGCCTTGGATAGAGAAGGAATCTTTCTCAGAGCAATACAGGAAAGGTTACTAGAAGTGACTGATTTTATGAATAATCTGATCATGTGTATAGGTGCTGGGAGCATTAAGTGCTATCACACCTGGGCTTTCTAAGTCTAACAATGAGGAAAAAAAAAACAACAAAAATTAAATTCAGCTTAGAATAGTCATGTTTCTGCAAATCAAATCACAGAGTCAATATCCTTAAAAAAATGGACTGCATCTCTTGTAAAAATAATAAAGTACAGTTTCTGATATGTTTCACTGGCTCATCTTAATTCATCTACTTATTAGTATAAATTTATGTGGAAATGAAAAGTAAAAGTTCTATTAAACATGCACACATACAAATGAGAAAACCATGATTTTATACATAATAAATATTTTTTGATAGTCTTCCCCAAAGACAGAGAGACAAGAAGAGGAGAAAGTGCCCTCAATGGAAAATGGCCATGTCACAATTCTCCATCTCTTCCCACTTTTGGGATCTGGAGCCCACACACAAGTGCCCAGTATGTTTTTTAAGCTGCCAGGGCCAGGGTTCAGGATTCATCATCAGCTATGCAGGATCCAGGAGCCTTAACCACTAAACCACTGACCCAGGTCAAGGAAACCATGATTTTAAATGAGTAAAAAACTAATAAAAATTCTTTTAACAATGACTTTTTTTGAGCTGCTAGTTCTTATTTTAATTTATAAATAAACATTGGCAAGCCACTTTAAAATAAGTCATCTTCCATCTGTGATGTCTATGATTTAATCTATGTCTTAGATATCTAAAGTATGTACATAGTAACTTGAAACACTACGTAAGTTTAGAAAATTGAATTAAAACCAGAAAATCAACCATGATCAGCAGTTATAGAGAATTAGACTTTCGATTAATATTTCTAAATGTAAAATTTTTCCATAGAGCGTGGTTCATAGTAGGTATTCAACAGATGTTCTAAGTAAATGAATAAGTTAATGATGACTGATAAAAAAAGAACTGTCTACTTATAGTCACAAAAACCACCTAAAATCTGTATTTAAAACAAAGGACACAGTAGACAGAAAATATTATTAATTTTTTTAAAGTATTTAATTTCATTTATTATCATTATTTTAAATTTGACAGGGAGGTAGATAGGGGGGTGGGGAGTAAAAAAGCAAGCCACTTGGTCTGGGATTTGAACTATGGTCAGCTACGTAGGAGTCTAGCACCTTAATCACCACAACACCTGCCAGCCCCTAATCATTTTAATATGCTTTATTTCTTAAATCACATCTACTTACCCAAAGCCTAATCTAGTGACAGAGCCCTGAATTTTAAATTCATATCTGCCAGTAACTGGGCTTTTGATGGTACATTTAGATGCTTTCTCAGGGTTCCTTTGGTTTTAAAGAGCTGATCCTAATTTTTGAGGTAAGAACTGAAATCTACTCTTTGAGTTTTTGTTAAATTAGATATTCATACCTTTACTTATCAGCCATTAATACTCCTGAAGGTATATGAATTGATATGTCACCAAATAATGTCTTATATAGTATATTTTTTGATTATTGTTACCTATTTTTTCAATTTATTTATTTGCGTTCATTCACTGTACATCATTACAGCATACAAAATGAGATTTTCCATCCAGAGTATACTGTATATTGTCTCAATCAAGCACATCAACAAACATGTTATTATCAGCAAATGATCTTCCATTTCTTGTTTTCTGTATATTTTGCCTTTTTCCCCCCATCCTTGGTTCCCTATCTCTTACCCTCTGCCACCTCCCGCTCTCCTCCCACACTGTCTCTGGTATCTATGTTTGCTTTCTATACCGTTTTCCCCCCACATTTTATTGAATCACCAAAGACCCTAATCAATCCAAATACCCTACTAGCAAACACAGGTTACACACACATTTCCATGAGCAAAAATCTAACTTTACGCATCCTATAAAGTAGCACCTAGCTGGGGCTACATATCCTACTGCAGTCGTTGAATAGATATATTTTTTTATATAGTATTTTTGATAATTTTCTCGGTTTCCTGTAATTTATAAACTGAGTATTTTAAAGCTTAGCCTTAACTATAATACCCCACCACTCAATGAGGAACCAACCTTAATTTGTTCATCTATGGAATTATCATGAAGATTAAGAGTTAATATAAAAGGCCTACAAAGTCCCCAGCACACAGTCAGTGCTTAATAAATGCTGTATTATTATAATTTATGGCTACTAAATTCTCTTCTTAAATCTTAAAAATACTTGGACCAGCATTTACAGTGGTTAAGGCACTGAACTCCCACATGGTTGACTATGGCTTGAGTCCTAGGCATGATGGCTTGAAAATCACACTGGGCACATGTGCATGCATACCCAGAATCCTGGGAGAGGACTGGAGGAGAGGGGATGATACAGTGACCATCCTCTAACTTTCCTTTTCTCTGTCTCCATCTCTCTCCAAAGTGTGCACACATCCTAAGGCAAAAAAAATTAAAAAAATAAAATCTTAAAAATATATCTAGATTATTTCTAATAGCCAGTGAGCCAGAATGTATGTATGTATGCATGTATATGTGTGTGTATATATATATATACTTGCATATAAAAGGCCTAGCACAGTACCAGACAGTACTGGTACCTTGGTAACCCAGTTGGATTCACATGAGAAGTTTCCTGGTGCCAATTCCAGGGGTCTCCCTGGGAGCACTGGATGTACCTGTGGTTCATACTTGCTGAGACTGGGAGTGCATCATGGCTTTAGGACCCTGACAGGGTACTGTTTCTATGTCTCTCTCATGGGAGTACAAACTGAACTTTAAATAAACAATCACTTTATCAGCAAACACCAGTACAAGTCATACTAATAATGCCTGTTTATGAGACATAAAAGTGCAACCTTAAGTATCCGATGTTAAGCTTCATTATTAAAAATCTCACTTACGGATTTGCTTATTCTCCTTTGGTAACTGAATTTTGTTTGTTTGGCTGCTGCCTTCCAGAACAAACACAAAACTTTTAACTTCTTTATCAAACTCCTATAAAACAAAATAAAAACAGTGGTAATAAGCATATTTTATTTGGCATCTACATACAATTGGAGCTACAAATCCACAGAAGAAAAAAGGCCTATAGTCACATGACTTAAAAAGTAAGCTCAGACCTTGAAGATATGCTTGCCCTGAAATTTGCTGAGAATATGTACATATAAGCCACACGGCAAATCCCTTTATGTCAAGACATCCTTCTTCCAAATGATAATTAGTTCTCCATGTTGAGGGACTCCCAAGTTATTAGTTTAACATTTCCTGAGGTTAGTGACCAATCCTCTCCTTTAATCTATGTATTTCTTTTTTTCCTAATTATTCATTTATTTCATTCATGAAAGAGACGGACAGACACAGGTAGCCCCAACAGGTTTTTTTTTTTTTTTAAGAATTATTTAATTTGTATTCATTATTATTTTTACTTTGACCAGAGAGAGACAAGAGACAGAGAGAGAAAGGGAACCAAGAAAGCAAGCTGCCAGGTCCAGGACTCAAACCATGGTAAGCCAAGGGGGAGTCCAGAGCCTTAACCATCTATTGGCCCCTAATCTATGCATTTCTAACAGCACTGAACTGAATGTCATTTCCTGTTATGGCACAAGAGACCATGTATTTTTATCCAATCTGGAAATTCCTTGGTTTCAGGTTATTGCTCCACATAGAAATGATCACTGTGTTATTTTACAACTCTGCTGTAACTATAAAATTCTACATACAATTTACTCACGTATGAATTGAAATGTTATCATTAAGGTTACCTAAAAAGCTTAGGTAGAAGCAGAAAACAAAACAAACCTAGAAATTATTAAAAAACAAACAAACAAACAAAAAAACTTGTTATACATGAGCTCTTCAAAAAGTTCCAGGAGAAGGTATATTATGAATAAACTAACCATGGATTACAGTTTTTCTTTTTTGCACCAAAAAAAAAAAAAAAAAAAGAACTTGTACTGTAATTCTATCTTTCTAGGAACTTTATGAAGTCCCCCTATACTATCAATCAAAAAGACTGCACATATTTTCAAAGATTCTGAGGAGTCTAAATGCAAGCAAGGAAAGGATCAGGGACTTAGAAAGGGTTGGTGTCTGCCAGGCAGGCATGATGAAAGGACACAAGCAAAAGCGTTCAGGGTCTCGACTGAAAAGCATTCAAATGATGGATTCTGGGCTAGAGAGGAAAAAAAAAAGTGAAGATGGAGAAGACACACTAAATAATTGAACACTGGGAAAGGAGAATGGTTGATGGCCTATAGGTCCCAATTAGATTGAAGAACAACCATAGTGAGTAACTGAGCAGTGACCTTAAGAGTCAAAGATTGGGGTCAGAGAGGGACATCTATGTTTCCCTTGGTAATTTCAGAGGTCCTCCAGTTTGCAGTGGTAAAGTCCACAGTGTGACAGTGGGAATGAATGCTAAACCAGAGTAGAAGAGGTGACTAAAAAGGAAAACATCAAGAAAGCTCAGGGGTTGAAAAAATTTTCCTCACAGGTACTGACATCACCTAAAATACATATAAAGACTTGGAGGACAGAAAAAGGTCTTGAGCCATCTGCCAAAGTCTTACACAGCTGGAGTGGTGTTTAGGAGGGCTGCAGCCTACAATATCTTCAAAGGGTGTTAGAGTGAAAAAACAGGAACCCTTCTGAAACATGAACAAGCCTTCCCCCCACCCCCTTTTTTCCCCTATAACCTTCACACACATTTCTTTCTGGGATTTCTGTAGCTCTAACATTTAACAACTTACTTTCCAAATCACAGATGGACTGCCAAGGATCTTCCATTTTGCTCCAGGATTTTTTCCTTGAGCACTAAAGATTTCAACAAATGCACCTCCCTAGAAAAATAAAAAGAAAGTATTTCAATGAAAGTGAAAGGCCATGGAGGAAATACTATCCACCACGCAGTATATAACCAGGGTTCCAGACATCTGTCAGTTTAAGAAGATCTGGGAAGAAATATTATCCCTGTCATTACTTCTACTTTTTACCTTGATTGTATCTAAGCTATAAACATTCTGATTTGGGTCACCTTGGATTAATGGTTTAAGGAATTTATTTTTAAAGCATGACAAATATTAAATAAATAGTGCCACACAAACCTCACAATCTCTCAGTAGGAGGCCCATTACCTGACACAGATCGTGCTTACAAAGTATTTTGTGCAACCCAGATTGAAGGCTTTGAACTCAATTCTAGAACCAGGACAATAAATTATCTCTGAATACAAGCATTCCAGTCAGAATGACTGAGGCTCCAGCACAACATACCTTGGAATTACTTAACTTCTTGATTCTCCATCTGTAAAATGGGTTGTTGAATTATTGATACACAGTATCAATAGTAGTAAATATAAATCAAGCACAATAGGTGACACAGGGTAAAGGCTCAAGAGTGCCATCAGAGATCATTCCAAAGAAGGCTAATAGGTTAGTATTTTTCAATAAAAAAGGCTTAGGAGGGATTTGGGGAGATTCTTATTTTAAGCATTCTTACAAGATTTTTTAAAATATATTTAATAACTTTTATTTGGAGACCTATAAAATATATACAGGAAAAATAGAAGTTATCTCTATAGACAGGCTACCAGTTCATCGCAAATCGGACAACATAAAGCTGACCAGCTTAAGGTTTAGCAGGCCTGCAGCCATTTTGAAGTTAACAAAGGCCTCTAACGAGAACAAATTGACCAAGTGCTAAATCATAGGGAGATCTGTTTGAGATCTGTCAGATGAGAAACCAAGAATGGGCATTTAAAGAAAAACGAGAATCAAGATAATTGTTCACAGCAAAGCAATTGACTTTGATTGATTGTGAGGAATGATTTGCACATGTTTGTATCCCAGATCTATAAATACTGAGACTGTGTTGCACTTTTTGAGAGTTTGACTCTGTGTGCTTCCTGTCTCTCTTTAACTGGTTACAGAAATAAAGTCCCTTCTCCAGGCTCTACCTCTAGTTTCACTGACTACAAGCTGCAATTGGACTTAGTTTGCAGATTACACAAAGGGACACACTTAAGTAAAAACACTAAAGCTATTATTGAATGTCCATAAGCTGTACTTATAAAAAAATGAGGAGAAACTAAACAAGTTGATTATCTCCGAGGAAGCATTTACAGCAAAAATGGAAAATTGGTAATTAAGCAACCCTGTTTGAGTTGTAAGTAGCACAAGAGCAAATCTAGGTTTGTAAATAACTTCCACCTTTACATTTTTCTCAAGACAGCTTTGCTACTGAATTTTAATATAAAAATCACTAGGAGACTTATTTTTTTCCTCTGTATTCTGTAGACAGTTTAACCTGGGAACTGAATATGGGATAGAATTACAGTTTTTGAGGTCAGGTCGTATTTCACCATGAATTTGAAATTGCAGACAGATTTAAAAAAAAAAAATCCTCGGTGAGATGAAACATTTTTCTCCCCTGCTTCTTTTTGCTTTCTCATGTTTTTCAAGTTTCCTGTAGAGGGCACATCCTTTTTTTCTTTAACAATATATTTTACCTATATGAAGTAAGGCAAACTTTTACAATTGTTCTAATTTATTTAATAGTATCAAACAGCTTAGAAGAGAACTGTGGGATACTCGAAGGACCCTTACAAGGAGGTAGGCGGTGGTTGGTGAAAAGGGAGAAGAGGCAGAAACTAATAAGGATTATTAAAGAAGAGTAGAAAGTTTATCAGAACAGCAGGAGGATGGATGACTCTTAACAGTGTGTAACCTCAAGCAGAGGTGGAAAGAGGGAACATGGAACTAGGGCCAAGGAAGGGCAGTAGGGAGAAGCCCATGGAAGACCACCATGCATGGAGACTCTGGGATATTCAAGGAGACTGAGGAAGACCTAGACGCAAGGTTTCTCCAGGTGTGATTCTCGAATCTCCTCCATCAGTAACACGGGGGAAGTTGTTTAAAAAGTTGAATAAACTGACCCCATCTACTGGAGATTCTAATTCACTAGATCTGCTGTGAGGGTCAGGAAATCTGCATTTTTATGAGCACTCCAAGTGATTCTGATCCACCGCAGTATTTGAGATCCACTGACCCCCAATTTTGGACAAAGAAAATAGTACAAAGTTAAAGGGCTTATTTTTGTCCTCGGGTGAAACCAGCGTGCATCACTAGTGAGCATACTAGGGGCTTGTTAAACTCGAGATTTCTGGGCCTCGCGCCCTCAAAGTTCTGATTCAGGAGGTCTGGGTGGGGTTTAAGAGCCGCATTTTAATCAGAATTAGAAACTACGCATCATCTGAGAAGCACTAAGAAGAGTGAGTAAAAGCCAAATCATTCGCCTAAATCTTAATTGCTTTTTTCTTTTCGGGAAAAGAACTCTTAGCCATTAATTTCTTCTCACCCCGAAAAAGACCGTATTTTGGGGGGGGGAGGCTTATTCTCATTCGGATCACGAGCTCCCTCACCCAAGAGGAGAAAGCTACAGACAAGCTGAAGAAGCGTTTCGGGTTACCTGATACTCATTTTTGAACATTCCCGCAGGGGGCCCGGGGCTTGGGGGGCACAGAGTTCAGGGCTTCCAGCGAGTAGCGTGACCCTGACGGCTGGACACCGGCGGGCAGGAACCCCAAATCCCAACCGGGGGGAAGGGCGTCCTGCTTGACCGCGACTCGGGCAGGTTCTTCTCAGCCCCTCCGGCCCCGGGTCAGCTCCACCTCGGGCTCCCGACCCACACCATCGCGGCCCTAGCCTCCGGGTTGCCCGGGCCTGAGGAGCGCGCGCGCGCCGCCCGGAGGGAGCGATTGTGTGGTAACCTACGTAACCGACCGCCAGGCCGCCGAGCCTCCCCTAACCGCCCTCACGTCAGAAAAGGGGCGGGGCCGGGCGCCGCCAACTTTCCGGCCGCGCCCATTGGCTCCCACAAGGCGCCTGCGCATTGCGCTGTGGGCGCTGGGCCTGCCGGCACGCGAGGCTACGCGGCGACATAGGTTACCCAGGCAACCGACCTTTTTCTTTTTTTTTTTTTTCCCAGCTAAACACGTGACAGACGCTCTCCTCTGGCCGGGTGGTGACCCTGTCAACTAAAAAGCCTCTCAGTGTGGTTTAAGAGCTATCCCTGGTGCTGGAGTCTTCTGGAGTACCTGTCAAGTTGCCTTGGTGGCTCCTGGTTGCAAACACAGATAACTGGTAGGTTGTTGATACAGTCATGGAATCAAGGAAGTGGTTGGAAGGTTCCCAAACTTAGATTTGTTGAGGCAGTAATAAGATCCGCTGAACACTTGTATTCCTTTAGAAGGTTCTAGGAAGTGTGAATATTCACTCAAGATGATTGTTTACATTCAAAAGCCAGTATACATTATTGAGATAAGTACTCCCCCCCCCTTTTTGTTTTTAAAGATTATTGCCATAGGGCATGTGAACTTGCCAGGAAAGAGACAGAGGGAAAGGGAGAAATCACTTTCCTACCCTCCAGGGGGAAGGCCACGCCATAATCCCTTCTCCATTTTCCTGTGGGGATTTGGGACTCCGCAGGCACACATGCACACATGCACTCTGTGTTTTTCAAGCTTCTGGATTTAAGACTCATACCATGAAATCGGTCATGTGGGATCTAGCACCTTAATCTTTAGGCTGCCTGCTGGCCCAAGAGACAAGCACTCTCTTCAATGAAACTATCAACTACTTAGTTTCCAGATCACAACCACTCTTTCATGGAGGTATTATTGCCAGTTGTGGCTAAGGAACTGTGGTTCAAAAGGTTAAGGAGCTGGTCCAAGATCACGTGGCCAGTAAGTGGTGGTGCCCCGTGGGAACTCTTGCCGGATACTATACTCAAGGCTGAGATAGGTCAATGACATAGGTTTATTAATATTCAGATATCACTCATGAAGGGTAAGGGTTTGTCCCTTCTCATTTGAAAATATTGAGATTCGGTGATTAGGAATTTACTCAAGGGTACAACATTAAGTTTCATTTATGTCAGAATCTAAAGCCTGATATCTTTTTTTATCCTTCTTTTTTTTTTTTTTTGAGAGAGTTTTTGTTGTTTTTGCCTTTTTTTTTTTTTTTTTTTGTTTTCGAGAGAGATATTTTTGCTTTAGGGTATATGTGCTCGCCAGAGAGACAGAAAAAGACAGAAAGTGAGAAATCACCCCCAAAGGGTGATGGCCTTGCTGCAGTCCCTTCTCCATTCTCCTCTTAGGGTTTTGGGCACTCACACATGCCCAGTGTGAGTTTTAAGCCATCGGATCCGGGACTCGAAGTGCAGTTGACTACATGGAAGTCCAGCGACATAACCATTATGCCATCTGCTGTTCCCCTGATATCTTTTTACTGCATCCAAGAGCCTTAAATATTTAGTGTCCCTTTTATAAGCTAACCACTGTGGATCGTGTAAAGGGCACAAAAATGAATAATACCTGGGAACTTCTTTTTATCAGAACTAAGAAGAGCAGATAACAAACAAGTCACTTCTACAGGCTATGTCTAATAATAGATATGTACATGATAAGGAGTGGGCCCATTGCACAGCTGTAAATTGCAGTGTAATGTTTAGCATCTAGACTTTCTGAGTTAAGAATTCAAACCTAGTTCAACATTAGTTCTTTGCGAGGCTCTGTGCTGGAAATTTTGGGAATTATCATCAGTAGACATGGTCTACTGATTAAGTTGCAAAAAGACTTCCTTCTTGTGTTCCTTCCTTCCTCTGATCCTCTCCCTCTTGCTTACTCTTTGCTCTCTTACTCATTTTCTCACTTGTTCTCTCTGCCTTTACTCTGAAAGAGGCAAATTGCTATGTTGTGAGTAGGCCCAGGGGAAGTCCATGTGGCAAAGAACTGATGTCTTCAGCCCATAGTCAGTGAGGTCATGAAGCCTGCCAACAACCACGTGAGTGAGTGTGGAAGTAATCTCCAGTCAAGCCACCTTGCAACCTTGTTGGCAGCCTCATGATTAACTAAGTCAGAGGCACACATCTTAATCACACTCGGATTCCTTACCCACAGATAGAGTAAGATTCATTGTAAACTGCTACATTTTAGGGTAATTTTTTAAACATAACAATAGATAACATGTACTCTTAATATCCAATCCATCAGCCAGACGTAATTCATTTTGTCTGAATACTTTTCCGTTCTATCCACCTTCTTTCAGAGTATAGACTACTGTGATTTATCTATGATCCTCCCTTCCCTTAACTACTATAATTGCTCTCTAATGCCTACTACACTGACTCTTTCAAATCATTCTCCACATTGTCAGAGTCGTCTTCATAAAATGCAAATCCAATCAGCTCAGCTTCTTCTTCCCTTCCATGACTATAAAGCTTGTAAGACTGCAGAGCTCCAGTCTCATCTTCCTCTCCAGTTTTCATTCCACGTTATGCAGCCACCTTTATTTCAGGCACACTGAGTTATGTTTTTTGTTTGTTTTTCTTCCTGTTCAATGTGTTCCTTTTTGCCATAAGGCCTTTGTGCTGTTCTCTTACATAGATTCCTTCCTTTGATCCTAGAAATGTAGAGGTTAGATCAAGGGGTCCCTTCCTCAGGAAGCTTCTAACCTTCCTGACTTGATAAGATCCCCTATACAGGTTCTCATGGTGTTTTTCCACTTAGCATTATTGAAATCATTGTTTGAACTTTATGTGTCTTTTTAATGTTGGCCATCTCTATTGGACTATAGATTTCAAGAGAGCAAGGACCTTGTTTTATTCAGTATTGAATCCCTAATGCCTGGAATTCTAGTTCAGTCTCGTACTGGATATAATAAATAGTAATTAAGTGAACAAATGAATGATGGGAGAGGGGAGATAAAAGATGAATAGATTCTTAAAACAGCCATAGGCTATAGCATTGAGAAAATAAAAACAAAGCAACTGAAATTTCATTAACATAAAAGAGTGAATTAATAAACTCAATTTGAGGGCCAGCAGGTGGAATGGTGGTGAAGGTGCTGGACTCCCATATGGTTGACTGCTGTTTGAGTTCTGTACCTGACAGCTTGAAAATCATGTTGGGCACATGTGCATTCATCCTCTAAGTTCTAGAAGGAGAATGGAGAAGAAATGATTGCTGTGTGGCCGTAGCCCTGGCAGGTGATTTCTCACTTTCCTTCTCACTGTTTCTCTCTGGTGATTGAGTGCACATGCCCTATGGCAAAAACAAAACAAAACAAAACAAACAAACAAAAATAAACCTTAAAAACAAAACAAAAAAAACCAAAAAAAAAATCCTTCAATAAGATGAAAGACAAAATATTAGGTTGTTGAGAAAGTCATGATGTATTTTTCTATGTTTTCCTGTGGAAAAATATGTCATGGCTTTCCCGATAATCCAGTAGTTACAGAGTTGAACGTGATTAATTACAGGGTAGCAGTCAGTCTTATTCAGGTATTTTTGTTTTTCATCACTGGTTCATTCAATCTAAGTCTGGAAAGAAATGGTATCATTTACTTCAATGCCCTCACTTCCTAGAGAGAAAGTAATAGTCCAAGGCCAAACATATTTCCTAACCACCCTCTCCCCCAACTCATAGCAAGTTCAGGAGGCTTATTGGATTTTCATCGCGAGTGTGGGATAGGGCCTGTCCAGGCAGCGCGCAGATCTGAACGCTGCCCAATTCTTTTATTTTGCCTTATGGTGAGAGCTGCCCTTAACACTGCAATGATGACTCTAAAGCAAAATGAGAGTGTGAGGTAATTTAACAATATGAACTCAAAATCAGGAATGGGAGGTGATCCAGTTTTATAAAAGCAAGTGTTCTTATTCACTTTGGATGATGGCAAGTCATGAGCAAAAATTTGGATTTAACTATGACAGCTATGATATCCTTGAGGATGTCTACCAGAATTCTGGAAAGGGGGGAAAAAAAAAAGCCAGTCTGCCTAAACAACTCGGCTTAAACCAAGTTATTTATGTATATTATAAAAGACAGTAAAACAGTTTCTTTAATTGCTACAATTTTTTAAAAAGTCAGTACATTTAGTAATTGCATTAAATTGCTTAACTTAATTTGACAACATTAAGAATTAGTCACTTTATAAGCTTTAAAGTGCTTGTCTTTGTTCTACAAAGAAAGTAATTTGGTGGTATATTAATATTATTAAAGGGATATTGGCTGGTACTTAACAAGGAATAGGCTAGAAATAGTTTTTAAAGAGTGCCAGAGTCTTCATATGCTCATGTAGTTATTCACATTAGATGAGTATTATTATCAGTTTGACAAGAAACAACATTCTTTTAAACTGTATGAATGCACTGTATTTACCACAACATATTTGTACAATAGTTTATATATTGGTTACAGTTCATAATCACATTATTTCACAATATAAACCAAAAAAGATACTGGTCTGATTGACCAGAATTTTTCTGTTGCACAATAAACTAGGGAATTTAATACTTGAAAGCTTTCGAAAGATGTTTTCCACATTAAAGAGTAACTTTATGTGTGATAAATATGCTGAATTGATAGAATAATTTTGAGAGGGTGCCTTTTTAAAATTTTAAGCAAGTTATCTTTGAGAAAAATTAGTGACACTCAAGTCATCTATTTGTCTATTGATTTGAGAATAACAATGTCTTCTTTTTCCAGGAAGGTATGATATGGGAAAGGTTTTTTATTGTTGTATTGCTTTTAGTTTTTTTTTTTCCTCAAATGGGGTTTTCCCCTCCCTGTTGTGTGTTTATGTACACACACACACACACACACACACACACACATACACACACACCAATGTATATACAAATTAAAAATGGATAAAAGACATACATGTGAGACATAAAACTCTTAGAGAACAAAATGGGAAAAC